TATAAAACATATATATATATTTGTTGACCACACATTCGTGCTAAAAAAAATATTATTTAATTTATTATATGTGTGGTTTTCGTCTATTTTGCAACATAAATGTTATTATTGATTTAGTAAATCCTCTATTGCTTATTTATAATTGTTGTTAGTAGTAATTTGTTGCTTAATCTTTCATCCCCAAATTTCAAATAATTGATACACATTTTGTAAGCCTGTGAAAATTTATTCATTAATTAAAAATACGAAGCTTCTCAATCTTCAGTAGTGAGAAAACAATAAATGTACATTTTGTTTCGTGTGATTGGTGTCAAGTAAAAAAATTTTTTTTTTTCATGTTCTACGCTTTGGCTTGTTAAAAAATTGTGTCTTTAGATAAATTGCATTACTACGATTAACCAAATAAATCCACATTGAGAGTATTACCAATAAAATAAAAAATAAGTTTTGATCTAATTAAAAGAAATTATAAAAAATATATATATAAAGTACCCTGCTGTGGATTTTTCTTAATAAATGGGGTCGGGGACGGACTCCCTCTCCCCTACTTAATTCGCCACCGGCCAGAGGAGACACCTTAGCGTTAATTTTTCATGTCCTTTCCTTAAATGACTCATTATAAGATAAGGTTTGGACTGATCTGATATGAGGATCTTACTTGGCAGGAGCTCACTCACTGCAGCAACAAACCCTGACTAATGCACCCCGATATAGCTCTCCTTTGACACTCCTGGTTCAGAAATAAACACTTTTATCCAACTCTATCGCTACATTCCGCAAGTAAGTTCTCACCGCAATCCCACGTAATGTCATCTAGATGGTTTGACTGCGCTGTCAAATATTACTACTTTTGTCAAATCTTGTTGAAATTGTCACAAATGCCCAGTGCCGGCCTTAGACGTTAGGCTCCCCCGGGCAATATCATCTCCCATTAAATTTATTTATTAGCTGTTTCACATTATGTAATATTTCAATTTTACTTCATTCAATATTTCTCAAATACAGTTATTTTATTGATAGGCTAAAGTTGATTATTTTAATAGGTTTGTATTTTTTTAAAATTAATAATAAGTGACGAGCGCCCCTCAAGATTGTTCGGCGCCCCCAACGGACGCCCTTTAAGGTAGGCGTCCTGGGGCAGTTACCCCCATTGCCCCGCCCTAAGATAGGCACTGCACGTACCTATACTAAAGGGTTCAGTCGCTATAATAACTCAAGTAGGGATTTAACTATGCTTCTAAAGGAATTAAAAAATATGTATAAAAGAAAGATATTTATTACGAAGTTAAAAGGAGAGAACAATTAATTATGTTCATAGGTGCACACCTCGTGAAGGCGATCACCCCTCCCCCCCCACTCCCACATCAAATAAAGGTAGAAAGGGGACGAGAATATCGTTTCTAATATTCTAAAGAACAGACATTCAATTAAAATAAAATCATTAATAATTAATCTACGCGACGGAATAAAATATGTAAACTACAATTGAAGAGAAGAATGGTTGGATTGATCAGTTAAAATAAAAAAATAGTAAAAATAAATAATTATATTTATTTTTGTATTTCCGACGTTTCGGCCCAAAATTCAGGCCTTCATCAGGGCTGGTCAATCCAAGAAGCGTGGAAAGACCAAAAACTACAATTAATTAAGTAAATACTGGGTTTAGCCCTAGTGACGAGAGAGGGGTGCAGGGAACTCCTGGAGTCATGCTTTTCCCTCCACAGTTGGAGGGACAAGTCTGGTTTGGAGTTCTCTCGCCAAATTGTAAATATTGTATATAGGTGTGTATGTGTTCTTTTTATTTATTTATTTTTAAGTTATTTTATTCTTATTTATTGTATATATATTATTTTTCTGTATAATTTATTTTATTTATTGTACATATAGTGTGAATGTGATCTGTGAACTCTATTATAAATGTCCTAGAGACAGATTGTAATATTTTTCAATAAATAAGTTAAAAAAAAAAAAAATTAAGTAAATAAGAAAAGTTGACTAGATGGCTTAGCTAAGGCCTAGAAGTATGTAGGCAAGTATTTTACCACGCCTTAAGTTCCTATTATTAAAATTTTAGTTTATATGCAGAGATAATTATATTGTACATACACTTTAGTATTATATTGTTCGTTTTCCAATAATTACGTTAATTGTTAATTTTTATTCATAAAATGAACTCCCAGCACTTTTTATTTGGGATTCTATCGACCTCCCTCCCCCCCCCCCCCCCCAACCATAATGGAAAGTCTGCGCCTAAGAATGGAATTCATTGGGCTTAAATCATGTTCAAAACACCATCTAGAGCATGAGATGTAGGCAACATCATTTTAATCTTCTAACTCCTTTCACACCTAAGAAGGCAAGTTCGACTAAGTCCAGTAACATGCTGTTTGGATGTGTAGAGGAACTACAGAGAGCAATGAAATTCATTTTTTTTTTACATGATTATTTAAAATAAAATAAAAATAATGGCCATAATTGAAGCAGAATCCATGATCAAAAAGAGAAAAAAACATTTTTAGAAAATTTTTGTATGATTATGTTGTATAAAATAATGTTGACGACATAATTTATTTTTAAATAAATAGTATAATATTTTTTTTTCATGTGGCGGAAATGTACAGTATACCCCTTTGTACGCGACCCCTACAGGCTCTGCGCTGGAATGCATCGGTTGCATTGGCGTTACTTAGCCCATTTTCTATTATAAATATGTACAAATGAAATAAAATACTAAGTGTATAAAACAAACAACATTTTATATATGAGTTAACGATGTATAACAATATCACGATTAAAGGACTAAAATTGTAAAAACATATTTTGTAAACCATAAGTATTAGCTTTTGATGACTACGACAATAAAGGCGAACAAACATACAAAACCATAACCATATTTAATGTTTGTCTTATGTTATTAAATAATATTGCAATACAGGTGAACATAATGTCATAAAGTTAAAAATGGTTAACTGCTGCTTTTTCATTTAGTCAAATTGGTTAAGTTAAAAAAATAAATAAATAAAAACGCCTGTTTGCATAAACCAACTTGGAATAAAATAAATAAATAAACAATTATTCTTCCTTTTAAAAAACATCCAATTTTTTTTGAGGGGTGAGGAAGGCATGAAATCACTAACGAAGCCCTATTTATCCCTGAACTATGATAATCATTTTCAGGGATCATTCTAAAATATTTTTATTTATTTATTTTTGTTAATAATTTAAAATGTATTGATAATCAGGGCCGGAACTTTGATTTTGCAAAAGGAGCAAGCTAATTTTTTCCGCTCCTTTTTTCACCTCCTGTCGCTCCCCCAATAAAATTCTTGGTTTCTTTTTTTAAATTTTTTATTTACAAATATACAATTTAGATAACATAAGTAATCCAAGAAATCTAGATTTTATTTTAGTATTAAAGGTAATGTATTTCGAAATAAATATTGTCATTTTACATGGAAATCCGCTCCATAATAATGATTAGGGACCGGATTTCCGAATTTCCCGAATATCTATCCGTTTCAGAACCTGTAGAATAACATATTTAAATTTTATATTGCATGTTTTGTCGTTTTTGGCTTAAATTGCACATTTTTGTACATTTTGTGCTAGATTAAATGATTTATAAATATAAATATGTATGTGTGTTTGTGTAAATATTTAATTTTTTATTTTACTATCTTGTCTATATTAAGTTGATATTTTAAGAATCTGAATCCAGCATCAATAATATCCGATTCAACGTAAATAAAAGCACATTTGTCAAATTTTTCGCAAACAATAACTCAGAATCTCGAAATTTATCAAATAATAAACAAATTAAAATTATAGATGCTGTAGGAGAAAATCTTGAAAAAAAATCGTGAAATAGGAAAAATTATATCTTAAAACTTTACTCCGTAATAGAAAAAAAATACAGGTTACGCTCTCATAAAAAAAATAACAAGACTTCATTAATTTTTTTTTATGACAATATTTTAATTCAGAAGCTTAACATTAGGTTTGATAGGATTTCGATGTATTATAAATGTCAAATCAGTGTCTATAAATTGTGTAGTTATGTATATATGGATATTTAATTTCTTTTGTTTCTTTTTTTTTTTCATCACAATAATATGTAATTTTGAGAAGATTTTATGTTCATTTTTATATATATATTTTGTTTGTTTGTTTATTTTTTAGTGGTTACATACTATTTTGTAAATAATGTATATAATGTTAGAATGTTTATAAGTTAGTTTTTAACCAGATTTGTATTAATTCATCATTGTTATTCTAAGGGGACTTAGTCCCAGAATAAGGTTCAATTTTCTATTCTATTCTAATAATATTATAAATAAAATAAAATAAACGATTTTTGCACGTTTTTAGGTATAAATTAGACAATTTTACATATTTTGGGGTTTTCACTGCACGATTTTGCGCATTTTGATTTTTTTGCTGCACGAAGATCCGGTCTCAAGTAATGACTTATGATTGTATCTAGTAAATGGTTCCTGACACTAGCGGATCCAGGATTTAATTTTGGGGGAGGGGCTTCAGCCTGAAAGATTTTTTTTCATATACATACAATGATAATTAATTTGAAAAAAAAAATAAAGAAATTAATCACCTATATGAAATGTGTTTAAGCGGTTCTTGAAGTCCTATTAAATATAATTACACGAACAATAATACTTTAAGAGATAGTTTTTAATATTTTTTTCTGTAAAACATGGTTACGTTTTACCATTTTGAGGAGGGGGGGGGGGAGGCTTCAGCCCGAAAGCTCCCCCCCGCCTAGATCCGCCTGTGGTTGCTGATACTCGTAAATTTGAGTTAGATGTGACTAACTTTTATCTATAGTTATTAAAGGCTGCCTCAACTTCTCCACTTCATCACTCTCTTTTTGTCCCCCATTCTTCCTCGTCTCGGCTTTTACAAGCGTTCAAGGTATACTTGCAGAATCATTAAGGATAAGGAAATCTTAAAATCTTTGTAAATATTATTATTTCATGACTTACCTGCTTGGCCTGTTGAAGCCAGGGGTTGTTTGGGGGCATGGGGAGTGGGCAGGGCCCATCTTTGACCCATGGTGGTCGGAAGGTGGTCCTCTTCTCCCCTCCTCCTTCCGCGTTTGGTCTTATCGACGGCATTATCTCAGGATCTGAAAAAGGAAAAATAAATACAATACTCAATGGAGGTAAACCGAATATGCTTTATTTTAAAGAGATTTCACCTTTTTTTTTTTGTATAAAATATTACAATATTTTTTCTAATAATAAAAAAAATCGAATTATACTTGATGGTGTTTGCTGTGCCGATACGCACGAATTAATAATTACCAAAAATTAAAAAGAATTATTATTTTTATTTTTAATTTATTTTATTTTTATATAAATTAGGCCAATTATCACCAAACATTTTATTGATACGCTATTTAATTCGACGTTTCGACCATGCTAAGAGTCATTTTCAAGTCTGGAAAATTGTAATATCATTATTAGTTAGCATTCACAATTACAAAAAGAATTTCTTATTACACTTAATTAACTTGTCTAACGATCTATGTCATATTATTTTGGATACACATAAATTTATCTTTATTTATTTATTTATACATGTTTTGGGCTCTTCAACCACTTGGGTCATTTTCGCCCTATATTACAATTTGATGAATTACTACACACATAACTCAACTATAGCTAAGAAATACAATTTAAAGTTTGAAAAGTTAAGAATAATTACAGATGATTATGATATTACAATTGAACTAAAATTATAAAAATTGAAACTTAAAGATTTGATAGAAGAAAAGATAACAGAGACAATAAAAAGAAAGATTAATGATATTAAGAATAAAAGCTAAAAAATACATTTTTAAATAATAACAATTAATATTAATAGAGGCGAAGTTAAAGAATACAGTTTAAACATTAGAAAATACAAATACCATTAAAATTAAACATTAAAGATTAGAGAAAGATAAGTTAACAGTTAACAAGGATATTTAAATAAAAGGTTAATGATTTCAGGAATATATTCTAAAAATACAGTTTAAAAACAAAATTAATATTAAAAGGAGAAAAGTTAGGAAGTACAATTTAAATATTAAAAATTACGAGAAGAAAAATTGAAAAAACCATTATAGTTAAAAATTATGATTAAAAGAAAAAAAAATTAACAGGTATATTTACAATTTAAAGAGGAACCCACAAACTTAAAAAACTTAACATTTACAATTACTAGGTGTAATTAAATTTTGTTAAATATCTTGATTTACTTAAGGAACAATATTAAGTTTTTAATAGCATTCCTTTTGGAGTGATTCTTAATACATAAATTTATTACATAAATTTATCTAAATCTATACATAAAAGTATACTCTTTTTCTTATAAAAAAAACCTTACATGTACGTAACTTACATGTTGGTCATGTACATAACTATACATTAAAAACAATTGACTATTATCTTGATGAGTCCTCCGTTATATATTCATCATTAATTTCGCAAATAAAATGTTCAGTGAACATTAAATTGTCATGGTCTATATGGGTTTCACCTACGTCATTTCTGGAGGGACTGACTTATATAGTCCTGGTGGGAATAGTCAAAAGGAGAGGGATTTTCCTTCTATTGTTTTGCATTTGTGGATTATTTTTTTGATTTTTGTATTGCTTTTAAATTATTCTTGTATTATATGCGAATATTGTTAATTGCATTTGCGTAAAAACTATTTATATTGTCCACATCTGTATGGTTGTTAACGGAATTCTTTAAATTTTTAGTAATATATATATAGACTCTATAATTTTTGTTTTATTGTTACTATTTTCCTTATATATTATTCTGGCATTTTTAAAATCAAATTGGTGTTTGTTGTATGTTGCATGTTGTGAAAGGCCGGTTGATGTGTTTGATTTGGACTTACAATTTTGTTCATATTGTTTTATTCTTTTTGCGAACCATTGTCCCGTTTGTCCTATATATGATTTATTAATGCAATTTTTACAATTTATTTTATAAATAAGGTTACTTTTATTGTCACGTGGTATAATATCTTTGGTATTAGTATACAATTTTTCAATTTTATTTACTGGCTTTTTACCTAATTCAATTCCAGATAGATCATATTCCTTGAACATCCTTTGAATTTTACTAGTTAGATCTTTAATATAAGTTATTGAATGATACTTAATGTTACATTGTTCAATTTTATTCATTAATGATCATAAAAAAAAGAATTATTATTTCATTATTATTTAATGAAGAAGATTTGTATAATCTAATTAATTTGAGTACATTCGTGAAGGGAATTTCTCACAGTTTTCTTTCGTTCTTTAAAAAATATTTTTATTTATTTAATGAAATTTACAACTGTATAAACAATACAACTAGTAAAAATGCACACATTGGAAATAATGACATGAACAGGCTTGAAGAGATACTACCCAGTGGTAGCACTCCCTATTTAATTCTAAGTGAGAAGATCACGTGCCCATCTTCTTTTCAGACGCCTAGGGGGATTATCAGGAATCGAGGAAGAAGCAAGGCTGGAAGGAAACAAATGGATTCGGATGGGACTGGAGTTTATCATGAACGGATAGATATCTTTAGATAGATTTATATAGATATACAAATATTTGTTTTGGAGTTTTAACCAAGACGAATCCTATATTTTGGGAAACAACAGTAACAATTACCGCTACACAAAAAAACAAAAATCACCAACTATTGTACATATCGGTGTATAGAAATGATTCCTATATTAATAGATGTTGGTTGGGGATTGCAGTCATTAGAAGTACACAAAAAATATTTATTTTCTTTTTAACGACGTTTCGACTTAATTTTCAGTTATTCATCAAGAATCTAAGTATAGACAAGATAACAACGTCCTGATAATAAGAAATAAAACTTATAAAAGATAAAAATTATTTGAAAAATATTACGTGGTTTACTGAAAAATAAATACAAGAAGTGAATAATTGGAATGAACATTTGAGTAGACGTGCACAACACATGAAAATATTCTATAAAGTAGATTAGATTATGTAGATAGTGAGGAAATTCTTAGATAAGTATATATAAGAAATAATTAAACTAGTATTTGTAAGTAGTTAAACATAACAAAAATAAATAATGAATGGAAGAGATATGATATATAAACTTAGGAAGTTATCAAGTAAAAGATACTTATTTACTATTTTGTACTAATCCGCGGTACAAACCCCTATTCATAAAATTATTAGCATCCGTCCAAAATTTCTTGAATGGAGTAACCTACAAATATTTTATCTACGAAAATTGGGCGTTTTCATATTAAATTAATTAATTTAATGAGATAATAAAAACGCATACATACTCATTTGTTTTCCACTAGATTAGAGAGATAATTTGATCACAAAAAAAAGAAAAAAAAAAAGATGGCCTACAAAAATATTGGGCCCTGACCAATAAAGCCTCGTTATGTTGGTGATCACGCCAAACGACCCAATATTTTCGCAGACCACCTTTTTTTCTCGATTTTGAGATCAAATTATCTCACGAATCTAGTGGAAAGCAAATGGGTATTTACGAGTTTTTCTTACATCTTTAATTATACAAACTTTACCAATCTCCAGATTGAAAACTCCCCATTTCCGAGAATTTTCGTAAATATAAATGTTGCAAGTTACGATAAGATGAAGATATTCACGAAGTTTTAGACGGATGTTAATAATTTGAAAAAAATGGGTCTGTAATAAACATTCTTAAATTTTTTCCTTTCTTTGCCCTAAATAATAAGCAATAAAAATCCGTAATGTATACAATAACATATGCAGCAAACCACGTAGAAGTATGAATATGATGAAACTATGGAAATATTAAAATAAATAGTTATGACTCAAATATTTATCAAGTGAAATTTAATGATATCCTAGTTATATCTCATATAAATTTATAGATTGTGTAATTAAATATTTCTCCACACATTTTAACTCATATTTTTTAGATCGTTTTGCTTGCACATTAAGCTGTAGATTTTTCTTTTATTTCCTCTTATTCTACTTTAATTTCATGAAAAAAACAAAACAAAAAGACAATATGACCATGTTTTTCTCCAACGTTTCTCTCATGGCTGTTTGCCTATGAACAATCCCTAATACGAGACACGGAAGCTAAATTACAAAAACAAATTAACGATCTCTTAAACTAAATAAATTGATGAATACAAATAATCAATGGAATAAAACATAATGTAACTACCAATGGCTTCAACAAGTTTATCTTTATTAGTAAAAATAGAGGAGAGGCGGTTTATCTAAGATAAGAAAAGAAACGGGTTTTAAATAATGTGTGGTTGGATGAGTTCCAAACGGAAACCACTCTGGCAACAAAGTGTTGGTCCAACGATACAAGTTCAACGTCGTGGAGTTGAAGCTCCTAGCTTTGTAGGAAAGAAAAGGAATTTGGAAGTAGTTGTTAAATAATATGAGTACAAAATGATATGTCTAATTTTTAAAATGATGTGACTAATTTTACAATATATGATACGGTTATATTAGGTATTATATGTGATATATATTGATAGAGATTTTATATGATAGGTCTGATTTTACAATAGTTTTGTGAAATAATTATTAACCTTTATGAAAATTCTTTTTTTTTTTTTTTTTTTTCTTTAAGACGTTAGACGAAAACCTATTCTGCACAACAATTCTAAACTTGATATTTGATTGACATTTTGGGTCATTCGTCAATTTTCAAAAATATTGCACTATTTTTTCCTCTTATATTATTACTATTTTCATTGAATAAAAAAACATGCAATTGAACTGCATGGAAGTGTGAATGAAAATGAAAATGAAAATATTTTTTTATTATCCTGGGACTGTTGTCCCTTTAGGACAAATTACAGATACAGAATAAATGCCTGTGTGGCCATACATAAAATTAATTATTTACATTTATTATTAAGATTTAGATTTTGAAAAAATAATAAAACAAAAAATATAATTATTACACTAAAAACATTCTGATATGTATAATACAAACTATATAATAAAATAAAATAGCATTAGTAAAGAAAATCATTTCTGGGGGAACTTTAAAAGTTCTCTTGTCTATGTGGTCTTACTTCCCTGTAACCATAGCCCAAATCACAGAATGTT